TGTGGGTTTGATTAAATTGTTCTCTCTATGAACCTCTAGGTCAGTGGTTTTCAACCTGGGGTCCCCAGATGTTTTTGGCCTACAACTCGCAGAAATCCCAGCCAGTTTACCAGCTGTTAGGATTTCTGGGAGTTGAAGGCCAAAAACATCTGGGGACCCCAGGTTGAGAACCACTGCTCTAGGTCCTCCAATACAATTCTATTGTAAATTTCAGCTGGAAGTTGTCCATAGAGTCATGCTGGAGGACCTAGAGAGAGCACCTCCCAAGGAATCTCTATAACCAGCGGTTGACGTTGACCACAAAGTCACACAGAGGACCTGGAGATACCTAGAGATTCTCTCAGGTTTTAAAAAAAGCTTTTTGATTGCATTTTCTTCACATTTGCAGGGATTCTGCATCAATAATCCCAGTGAATGTAGATGGCTGGCTGTACTTCCAAATTCACCAATAGAGAAATAGCTGCAGGGTGGCACAAAGTATTTTGACCCCCGGGTGATAAACTGAATTAGCAGCCTTCCTTTTTTTAAAAAAAAAAAGTGTGGTTTTCCACTCTAATGTTTTCTGGTCTGTTGGCAAACTCTGCTTATGGATACAGCTGACTCTAAGCAGCATGACTCTATGGACAACTTCCAGCTGAAAACTCTGCTTATGGATACAGCTGACTCTAAGCAGGTGTTTGTGCAAGAAGCAAGTGGAAAATGTGAAAGTTACTACATGAGGAAGGAGTGTCTTTTTTAATGTGACTTCTCAGATATGGCAAGCTTTCACACAAATATTTATGACTCATTTTTCAGCATGTTCTTCAAAAGTTAGCAATGCTTACAACAACACTCTGTATTTGGAAAACAACAATTTCTAGTCTTCAGGATTCAAGACTTAAAGGACACAGTTTTAAAAACCGTTTTCTGTAAGTGGTGCAGCCATTTTTAAAAAGTCTCCAGCTAAGGTATTGTACACTTATTGATTTGAATGAAAACTGTCATGCCAAGTAAATACTATATTGTGTAATTTTGAACTAATTAAGCCTGCCACACCTACATAAACACTTGTGAGAAAAGAACGTGAATTCTTATTGGCTGATGCACATAACAACAAGCATTGTCACAGGTGCCTTCCACACTGTTCCTATATCCCAGGATCTGATCCCAGATTATCTGTTTATCCCGGATTATCCGTCAGTGTAGGCTCACATAATCCAGTTCAAAGCATCTCYCTATACATTGTCCAATTGCATCACCCTATACAGACCATCCTGTGCACTGCGATCAACAGAGGAGGCTCTGCTCTCAGTCTCACCCCGTCACAAGCTCAATTAGTAGGAACGAGGGGGGGGGGCTTCTCTGTGATCACCCTCCCCCCCCCCCCGGTCTCTGGCACTCCCTCCCCAAAGAAATAAAAAGTCCCCACCTCCTCTCCTTTAAAAAAACTCTTGAAGACGCACCTTTGTACTTTGGCATATGGAGAGGAGGAGGAGTAGGACCCTCTAAATCAAATGGAATGTTGGCTGACTTACCTGTACCTCATGGCCACTTAGGTACACTTCAAGAACTATAATCAGCCAGTTTCCATTTAATTGTTTTTATCATTTGAAATGTTTTAATGTTGAGTATGTGATTGTGCAACCTGTTTCTATGTGATTATTTGTATCTTGTTTTTCATTTTGACGCTTTTTAATACAATACGTTCACTGTTTTAATACATTTTAATACAATTTTTAATACAATAAGTTCATTGTATTATGTTTATTATATTGCATTATTGTAATTTTTGGCATTTATCTGGGCATTGAATGTTTGCCTTTTTCTGTTGGAAACCACCCTGAGTCTTCTCAGGGAGAGAAGGCGATCTTTAAATAAAGTTGTTGTTGTTATTATTATTATTATTATTATTGCAGATAATCTGGGATTAGATGATGACATAGGGCAGTGTAGATCCACCCATAAACAAGGCATTCCTTCCTGCATTAAAGATATGAGGAACATCCCACTTTCAATATTATGCTCCCAAAATTTAGAGAGGAAGTGTGTAGTTTTGGGAGCCAATCTTATGTCCCATGTGTCCTTTAGAGGCCCCAAATACATTCCCACACCAAAACTCCTAGTGGCCAGAATCCACTTCTTGTTTTGTAAGATGAATATAACCTGATCTTAAATGGTAGGGGAAGGCAAGAAAGGGACCTATTTAAAATGTGATTGTTGTTCCAGGAAGATTCTAGGAAAGTTTTAGGTTTTTATTTTTTATATATAAAAATAGTGGTTGACTACCAAACAGCTGTAAGCAGCCACATTTTGCTCACCAGATTTGAAGTTTAAGGCCTAAACATATTGTCTCAGCTAGATTAGATCCTGGACCATTACTTTGTGTGTGTGTGTGTGTTAATTCACAATTCGACAACTGATTGAATAGATTTGCCCTAGGATGCAGCTACACTGAATGAATGATTTGACACTTTTTAACTGCTATGACTCAGTGCTATGGAATCCTGGAAGTTGAAATTTTACAAGAGAATTGGCCTTCTCTGCCAAAGAGCACTGGTGCATCACCAAACTATAACTCCCAGAATTCCATAACAGTTATAGTGATGTCAAACTGCATGTACTCTTCAATATGGATACAACCCTAGTTGGGACTATCAATTGCATTTTCAGGTACATTTGGCAGCTTAAACATCCCAAATGCACCAGAACCTGGCTAATCTTGAAAGATAAACAGAGCAGCTCTAGTTGGTATTTTGATGGAAGAGCAGCAACGAATACTAGATGCTGTAGTATGTATTTCATAGTCAGGAACTGACAACAATACAGTTCCTCAGAGTATTCATTGCTGAAGAAAATCCTATGAAATTAGTAAGTGGACAGGTAACTTGAAGACATATACAAACATCACTGAAAACCTGTTTAAACCACTTGAAATAAATTGAATGCTAACTAGTATTATTGTGTCATATTTTCATTTTCCCTGAAGAGTAATCTCCTTAACTTATTGTGTAGAGATGTGCAATTCTTCATGAGGAGCTGTTGAAGGTACAGGGGAGGACTATGACAAATATCTCAAATGATAGGTTCAGGCCACTAAGTCTACATAATTCATTTCAAGATGTAATAGTAATTACCACAAGTGTAGTTAGTTGTTAGTTATGTGTTGCTACTCTTTGAAATAGAAACTTTAAATACAGTGTCTGTTTTGAAAAGTGGCAAAACAGCCCTCTTTGTCTGGGGTGGGAGACATCATTTCTTGCATGTCAGAATCATATGGAACTCAGTTTTAATTGTCCAACATTAATATAGTCCCTAATCCCTACCAATCAAAAATAAATCATTAACTACCACAACTTAACAGTGCTCCATGCAGTCATGCTGGCCACATGACCTTGGAGGTGTCTATGGAAAACGCTGGCTCTTTGGCTTAGAAATGGAGATGAGCACCACACCCGAGTCAGACATGACTGGACTTAATGTCAGGGGACAACCTTTACCTTTTACCACAACTTAATACTCTTAAAGGAAACCAAATTTGTTTCTTTTGTACAGTTGGAACATCCCTTATTTGGAATTCCAAAATCCTCCAAAATTCAAAACTGTCCAGATTGGTAGCTAAGAGAGGGAAACCTTTTCTTTCCAGTGGTTCAGTGCAAAAAAAATGTTTCATGCATAAAATCATTTAAAATATTGTGTATAAAATTAGTTTCATGCTTTTTGAATAAGGTATATATGGAACATACATTTTATGTTTAGATTGGGATCCCATCTCCAAGATATGAAAGTATTCCAAAATCAGAGATGAGAAACACTTCTAGTCCCAAGTATTTTACCATTCTAAAGCATTAAAAAGTACAGAAAAATATAGGTACATCAGAGGTAAGGAATGAGGACCCAAAAGCCATAATTCTAACCAGAGGTTGTACTTTAAGAAAAGGCAACAAAATCTTGGGTGACTTAACTTGTAGTATGTTTTAACCCATTGTATTACATCGGACACTTCAGTGGGCAATAGTCACTTCAGGGCCTATCCCACTACCTTATCAAGTCCACCAGAGTAGCTGCTCTTGCAGCAATGGACTAACATTAAGCCAAAGTGTCTATGATCCATGATCTTATTCTATATGGTATCCTTAGCCCCAAACGCTTTAGAGGACAGTTTCTCAGTGAGCTATGTTAGGGGCATCAAAACCAGTCATCAACTCCAAAGTATTATTTAGAAAGCAAATAATTAAAGCAACCTTACGAACCAGTAATTAGTTCTAGTATTTCCTCTCCCATCACTCTTTCTCTCAAGAAACCTAGACAGCTGGAATATGCAGTTTCCTCAATAAAGAGAAACCCATCTTGTTGATTGTCTGTACTTTTCCCAGAACACCGTCATGACCTCGTGTTCTTTCTCCCCAAACTCTCAAGAAACAAACATAGCGATAGCAGTAAGATTCACTAAGGGTGCATCTGCATTGCTGAATTAATGAAGTTTGACATCACTTTAATTGTCATGGCTCAATGCTAAGGGATAATGGGAATTAGTTTGGTGAGGCACTAGCACTCTTAGATAACGATAAAGGCTTGCCCTGACATTAAGTTTAGTCATGTCTGACTCTGGGGAGTGGTACTCATCTCCATTTGTAATTTGAAGAGCCAGTGTTGTCCGTAAACACCTCCAAGGTCATGTGGCCAGCATGACTGCATGGAGCATCGTTACCTTCCCACAGAAGCGGTACCCGTTGAGCTACTCACATTTGCATGTTTTAGAACTGCTAGTGGAAGCTGAGCCTAACAGCAGGAGCTCACCCCACTCCCCGGATTCAAACCACCAACCTTTTGGTCAACAAGTTCAGCAGCTCAGAGGTTACACCTGCTGGGCCACCAAGGGGCTTGCACTCTTTGGTAGAGAAGACTTAATCTGGGTTCTGTGGCTGTGTGGAAAGACCCTAAGAGAGAGCTAGAGTTCCAGTTTCACAAGGACTCTCCTATTAAGAAATGTTATCTTTTCATGAAAGAAACACAAATGGAAATCCAAGCAAAACTATACATTTATTTCAGAATAGCTAAGATTTTTCCTATTATACAAATACAGTATAAATTCAAAAGTCACAAAATAAAAAAGTACAAACTCCATTACTTAATAAATATATCTAGCCATTTCAATTTAACTAGAAATTAAAGAAGGTGGCTTTTACCTTGAAAACCTTGAATGTTTGACCCAGCAAACCATATAAACTTAGTATAAATTTTTTACATAATACCAGAGCAAGCCCATTATTAGCCATTAGAAAACATCTAAAGAATAAAATGTGATAAAATGAACCTGCTAGTGTGCTGTCAGAAGGCAGGCAGGAAGCATGTATACCCATTAAAAAAAAACAAGACCACAAATCAAGGCCATTCTTAAAGAACAATTTCAGCAAGTCCTTCACAAATTGAAGCCTAGCTTTGTAAAAAAATTTTTTTTGGTAGATGAAGATCCAAACCAAAAAAGGTGGCAATAAAACTGAAAATGCCAGTTTACTTTAAAAAACAACTGAACACCAGAAAAGTCACAATTGCTCTTTCTTTGTACCATTCTTGGAGATAAAGGAGAGAAAAAAGCATGTTTCAACTGTCTGGGAGGAAGAAAAAAAAAACAATCCCGCTCTGCAGAGTAATAATAAATTCATCTTTAAAAGTTACCAATTTAAACTTGATTGCATCTTATTTGAAAAAGACGATCTGGAAAATCACTGTCTTCCTTTCAGTTCATCAGGAGAAGAAAAATAGCAGTTTTTAACAGAAAGATAGTAGTATATGCCTGTTTTGAACACCAGCATAAAATAACTGTTAGGCCACAAGCCATGAGTAGGAACAAAAACCAAAATGAAACAAAACAAAAACCAAAGCAGATCTCTTACTGACTTATTTTTTGGCATTAAGAGGCTGCAGATTGGGTTTTTTTTCCCCTTCAACTGTGCCAAAAGAAGGGCTGTATGTGTTGATATAAACCAGGCCGGGGTAAACCTGGGCCCTCCCTCGAGGTGTTTTGCTCCCACCATTCCTAACAGCATCGGGTCTCTTTTTTGGGGCTTTGAAAATATATCAATTTAATTCTAGGATAGGAAAAGCCAATTTGTTTGTGGGGATGTTCTCCTTCCTGCACAGCAAGTGTACGTTTTAGACCTTTATGAAAATTTAATCTGCCCTGTATTTAAATGCTTTAATTAGGGAACGCATTTAAAAAACAAAGTCTGCTTGATGCTTGGGGAGGAATCCTTAAGCCAGTGGTTCTCAACCTTTTGGGTCCCCAGATGTTTTGGCCTTCAACTCCCAGAAATCCTAACTGCTGGTAAAAAGGCTAGGATTTCTGGGGGTTGGTAGTCCAAAACACCTTGAAGCCTTGGTTGGGAACCACTGCCTTAAGCAGATTTTAGAGGACGTGCAGAGCTTCAGGGAGAAGAAAAGCTCTTCCCACATTCTTCAGATTTGGAGGACATGATGTCTACATCCAACCCATGGCATTGAAAATGTATTCCCATTCATTTAACTTCTGTAGGGCAAAGATATACCAACCCCAGAGAAAGTTCTGAAGGCTTTAGATCAGACATGGGCACACTTGGGCCCTCCAGGTGTTTTGGACGTCAACTCCCACCATTCCTAACAGCCTCAGGCCCTTTCCTTTTCCCCCTCAGCTGCTTAAGCGGCTGAGGGGGAAAAGGAAGAGGCCTGAGGCTGTTAGGAATGGTGGGAGTTGACGTCCAAAACATCTGGAGGGCCCAAGTTTGTCCATGCCTGCTTTAGATGTTTGGAATCTAAAGGGAGGGGGCTGAGGCTGTTGGCAATGGCAGGAGTTGGGAGTCCAAAACACCTCAAGGGTCCAAGTTTGCCCATGCCTGCTTTAGACGTTTGGAATCTAAAGGGCTGTTTGGAATGGTGGGAGGGCCCAAGGCTGTCCATGTCTGATCTAAAGCCTTCAAAACTTTCTCTGGGGTTGGTATATCTTTGCCCTAGAGAAGTTAAATGAAATCTAATGGGGGGGGGGGGGTGTTTGAGGCTGATAGGAATGGCGGGAGTTGGTAGTCCAAAACATCTGGAGGGCCCAAGGTTGTCCATGTCTGATCTAAAACCTTCAAAACTTTTTCTGGGGTTAGTATATCTTTGCCCTAGAGAAGTTAAATGAAATCTAAGGGGGGGGGGGGGTTGAGGCTGATAGGAATGGTGGGAGTTGGGAGCCCAAAACACCTCGAGGGTCCAAGTTTGCCCAGGCCTGTTTTAGATGTTTGAAAATTAAAGGGAAGGGACTGAGGCTGTTGGGAATGGTGGGAGTTGGAACCCAAAACACCTTGAGGGTCCAAGTTTGCCCAGGCTTGCTTTAGAAGTTTGGAAACTAAAGGGAAGGGCCTGAGGCTGTTGGGAATGGTGGGAGTTGGAGTCCAAAATACCTTGAAGGGTCCAAGTTTGCCCAGGCCTGCTTTAGAAGTTTGGAAATTAAAGGGATGGGACTGAGGCTGTTGGGAATGGTGGGATTTGGAGTCCAAAACATCTGGAGAGCCCAAGTTTGCCCATGCCAGCTTTAGAAGTTTGGAAATTAAAGGGAAGGGCCTGTGGCTGTTGGGAATTGTGTGGGTTGGAATCCAAAATATCTGGAGGACCCAAGTTTGCCCAGGTGTTTGGAAATTAAAGGGAAGGGACATAGGCTGTTGGGATTGGTGGGCTTTGGAGTCCAAAACATCTGGAGGGCCCAAATTTGCCCAAGTCTGCTTTAGATGTTTGGAAAGTAAAGGGAAGGGACTGAGGCTGTTGGGAATGGTGGGAGTTGGGAGTCCAATCCTCCTAGAGGGATGGCCCAAGTTTGCCCAGTCCTGCACAGACTTCAGTCAGCCTGGGCTGGTCCCGCAGAAAGTCTTAAGGCCTCCAGGGCGAGCCCTCCGTTCCTCGCTCCCTCCCTCCCGGCCTGGCCTTGGGAGTCAGGACCCGGCGGCGGCGCCCCTTCCCTGGCCCTGCTCGAGGTACATCCGGGAGAGCGAGAGCGCCATGGCCTTGGCGAGCTCCTCGTCGCGGCGGCGCTGGGCTTGGGCTTGGCGGCACCAGGCCTCGTACTCGGGGTTGGGGGCGGGGCGGTCGAGCACGGCGTCGTAGTGCCCGCTGCTGAGCCAGCTGAGCCAGATGCTGCCGCTGCTGCGTCGGGGCTGGTGGCCGAGGCCGCCGGGCAGGGCGTGCTCCATGGTGGCCACGGTGGGGCTCTCGGGCCGGCCGCCCGTGGTGAGGCGCACGGCCAGGCCCAGCATGCGCCCCATGGCCAGCAGCTCCGGGTATCCCGCCCAGGCGCCGTCCTGCGCCGCGTTGACCAGGAACTCGCCCACGTCGCCTTCGATGAGGGCGCCGAAGTGCTCCAGGTGGTCGGCGATGTAGTGCACGGTCTGCTCGCGGAGCTCCCCGTGGCGGCGCTGCTCCCCGTGGGCGGCCTGGCACACCGCGCGGTAGAGGCAGTTCCCGTCCGGGATGATGTGGAAGCGGAAGCGGCCCTGCTGCCGGAGGTACTTGTCCTGCTTCTCCACCTCGGCCAAGTACAGCGCCAGCTTCGAGGGCGGAGAGGCGGCCTCCGGGTGCGCGGCCCGGTCCTCCTCCGCCGCCGAGGCCGCCGCTTGCAGGGCCTGGCAGTGCTCGCTGAAGCGCAGGCCGCGGTTGCTAGGCTCCGGCTGGGGCGGGAAGGCAGGCCCTCCCGAGGCGGATGCTGCTGCTGCTGCTGGAGCGGCGCCCTCTCCTCCTCCGCTCTCGAGGGGCAGCCAGGAGGGGTCCAGAGGCCGGCGGCGCACCATGTTGGGCTTCCTCTGCGCCGCGGGGAGCAGCTCCAAGCAGGAGAAGGCGGGCATAATGGCGGAGGAGTCTCCTCTCGAGGGGTGGCTCTCCCCCTCTGCTGCGCCCTCCGCAGAGGCCTTGAAGGCGGCGCTGGGCCCGCTGTCCGCGCTGGGGCTTCCTCCCCCTCCTCCTCCTCCTCCTCCCGAGGCTGCGTTGGGGGTGGCGGGCGGCGGGTAGTGCACGACGGCGGTGCTGAAGAGCTGCATCCTCCCTGCTGCTGCTGCTGCTGCTTTATAGGCCCCGGCGGCCCGCGGGGGGAGGCCGGGCCAAGGCCAGAGCGTGGCCCCTCCTCGCCGCCCGCCGACAAGGGTCAGGCCTCCGCTCCGAAATAGCCGCGCGCATCACCCTCCGGACCGCCAACCGCCGCTCGCCCGCCCTCTCTCCCCTCCCTTCGTGCCTTCCCTCCCCTTCGTGCCTTCCCTCAGGCCGCGCCCGAGCGGGAATTCCTGCTGCGCCACAACTCCTCCCTCCTCCCTCCTCATCCCCTCCCTCCTAGGAAGTGGAAGGGCCGGGCCTTGTTTACTTCCCCACGCTGGAAAAGGAGGAGGAGGAGGGGGCGTGGCCTGGCGCGCAGAAGGGCGGGCCCTCTCCTCCTCCGTGTCAGCTAAGGGGAGGTCTGGCCTGCCCGCTTCCCTACTTCCTTCCTGTTCGCTTCCTTCCTTCCTTGGAGGCGCCAGGACTGGAGGAGCAGGCTCGCCTCTCGCCATGGGCCTGCACAATTCAGGGCCATACAGAGATGTAGCCAAGCCGGGGGTGGGGGTGGGGGTGTTAGGGGTTCAAACCCTTCCCCGGGATTTATAGTTCACCTACAATCAAAGATCCCCTTGAACCCCACCAACTAAGGGGAGGCCTGGCCTGCCTGCTTCCTTCCTTCCTTCCTTCCTTCCTTTCTTTCTTGGAGGCGGACTGACGGAACAGGTTCATAAAATTCAGGGCCATTCAAACAGAACTGTAGCCAAGGGGAGGGGGATGGTTAGGGGTTCAAAATATCTGGAGGACCCAAGTTTGCCCATGCCAGCTTTAGATGCTTGGAAATTAAAGGGAGGGGACAGAGGCTGTTGGGATTGGTGGACTTTGGAGTCCAAAATATCTGGAGGACCCAAGTTTGTCCATGCCTGCCTTAGATGTTTGGAATCTAAAGGGAAGGGACAGAGGCTGTTGGGAATGGTGGCCTTTGGAGTCCAAAACACCGACAAGAATAAATCCGGGCCAGCTAACACCTCTCACTGAATAGCCAGGCAGGAAGCAGCCAGGCTTTGAAGCTGCCAGGCTATTCATTGTTAATCAAGCTGGCCAATTGCAACATTCTCACTTGCCTCAAACAGGCAAGAGTTCTTTCTCCCACCCTGGGCATATAACCCTCACTTGCCCAATTTCCAAAAGGCCTCACAATGTCTGCGCATGCCTGCCATAGATGTGGGAGAAATGTCAGGAGAGAATGCTTCTGGAACATGGCCATACAGTCCCAAAAACTCACAGCAACCCTGTTTATTTATTGTTTGAATTTTTTTTGTATGTGTATATATATATATATATATATATATATATATATATATATAAGGCCTGGGCAATCCATGTTTCTAAATGGTTCTAAAGTACTTACAAAACTAAAGTTCTGGTGGTGAAAATTTCAGAACTCTAACAAAACTCTCAAAATTTCATAATAAATGGCAGTTCCTAATTGGTTCTGTCATAAAAATCACCAATAATGAAATAATAATTAAATTTTGAAAGTTTTGTTAGAGTTCTGAAATTTTCACCACCAGAACTTTAGTTTTGTAAGTACTTTAGAACCATTTAGAACCATGGATTGCCCAGGCCTAATATATATAGTTATTTATTGTTTATTATAATATGCATTATTATATGTGTACCCTATTGGTATTATTTTTATTTATTGTTTTGGTATTATATATTGATTCATTATTATGATATAATTTTATTATTATTAAAGGTGGATTTTCTCTTACAGTAATAATAATAATGTTGTTGTTGTTCATTTGGTCAGTCGTTTCCGACTCTTCGTGACCTCATGGACCAGCCCATGCCAGAGCTCCCTGTTGGCCGTCACCACCCCCAGCTCCTTCAAGGTCAGTCCAGTCACTTCAAGGATGCCATCCATCCATCTTGCCCTTGGTCGGCCCCTCTTCCTTTTGCCTTCCACTTTCCCCAGCATAATTGTCTTCTCTAGGCTTTCCTGTCTCCTCATGATGTGGCCAAAGTACTTCATCTTTGTCTCTAGTCTCCTTCCCTCCAGTGAGCAGTCGGGCTTTATTTCCTGGAGGATGGACTGGTTGGATCTTCTCGCAGTCCAAGGCACTCTCAGAACTTTTCTCCAACACCACAGTTCAAAAGCATCTATCTTCCTTCGCTCAGCCTTCCCTAAGGTCCAGCTCTCACATCCGTAGGTGACTACAGGGAATACCATGGCTTTGACTAGGCGGATCTTTGTTGCCAGTGTGATGTCTCTACTCTTTACTATTTTATCGAGACTGGACATTGCTCTCCTCCCAAGAAGTAAGCGTCTTCTGATTTCCTGGCCACAGTCTGCATCTGCCGTAATCTTTGCACCTAGAAATACAAAGTCTGTCACGGCCTCCACATTTTCACCTTGGGCCTGCAAAATTCAGGGCCATATAGAGATGTAGCCAATCCGGGGGAGGGAAGTTAGGGGTTCAAACCCCTCCCTCCCTCCTTCTTCCCTGGCACCAGAAATCTCTCGAGATTTCAGTTCCAGGCCGTTCTGGGTAAGCCGTAGCTTCTGTGCTGGAATCCACGCTTGGCCATTCGCCGGGCCTCACTGCTTGCCATGGGCCTGCAAAATTCAGGGCCATACAAACACAGCTGTAGGCAAGGCGAGGGGGATGATTAGGGGTTCACCCCTCCCCCCCGATTTATAGTTCACCTACAATCAAAGATCCCCTTGAACCCCACCAACAATAGAACTAGGAAAACTTCCCAAACAGAATCCCCCATGAGCAACAGAAAATATTTGAGGGATTTGGGGGGAGGGTTAGGGGTTCAAACCCCCTCCCTCAGGAGTTATAGTTCACCTACAATCAAAGATACCTTTGAACCCCACCAACGATAGCATTGGGAAAACTTCCCACACAGAACTCCTCCCCCCCCCCCCCCCCCCCCCCATGACCAACAGAAAATATTGGAGGGATTTGGGAGGAATTGTCAGTGGGTTGCTTTTCGGGCTGTATGGCCATATTCCGGAAGCATTCTTTCCTGACGTTTCGCCTGCATCTATGGCAGGCATCATCATCACATGTTATGAAATTACTCTTCATGATATGCTAAAAAATTTTTTTTTAGCACCCCCTCCCCCTCCCCGACAAGAATAAATCAGGACCAGCTAACACCTCTCACTGAATAGCCAGGCAGGAAGCAGCCAGGCTATTCAGTGTTAATCAAGCTGGCCAATTGCAACATTCTCACTTGTCTCAAACAGGCAAGAGTTCTTTCTCCCACCCTGGGCATATAACCCTCACTTGCCCAGTTTCCAACAGGCCTCACAATCTCTGCACATGCCTGCCATAGATGTGGGAGAAATGTCAGGAGAGAATGCTTCTGGAACATGGCCATACAGTCCCAAAAACTCACAGCAAGCCTGTTTATTTATTGTTTGATTATTTATTGTTTATTATAATTAGGATATATATATATATATATATATATATATATATATATATATATATAGCCCGGAAAAACCTACAACAACCCAGTGATTCCGGCCATGAAAGCCTTCGACAATACATGGTTATTTATTGTTTATTATAATATGCATTATTATATGTGTACCCTATTGGTATTATTTTTATTTATTGTTTTGGAATTATATATTGATTCATTATTATGATATAATTTTATAATTATTATTAAAGGTGGATTTTCTCTTACAGTAGTAATAATAATAATGTTGTTGTTGTTCATTTGGTCAGTCGTTTCCGACTCTTTGTGACCTCACGGACGAGCCCACGCCAGAACTCCCTGTTGGCTGTCACCACCCCCAGCTCCTTCAAGGTCAAGCCAGTCACTTCAAGGATGCCATCTATCCATCTTGCCCTTGGTCGGACCCTCTTCCCTTTTCCTTCCATTTTCCCCAGCATCATTCTCTTCTCTAAGCTTTCCTGTCTTCTCATGATGTGGCCAAAGTACTTCATCTTTTCCTTTACTATCCTTCCGTCCTGTGAGCAGTCGGGCTTCATTCCCTGAGGTATGGACTGGTTGGATCTTCTCACAGTCCAAGGCACTCTCAGAATTTCCCTCCAGCACCACAGTTCAAAAGCGTCTATCTTCTTTCACTCAGCCTTCCTTATGGTCCAGCTCTCACATCCATAGGTTATTACGGGGAATTCCGTTGCTTTAACTATGCGGATCTTCGTTGCCAGTGTGATGTCTCTACTCTTCACTATTTTATCGAGATTGGACATTGCTCTCCTCCCAAGAAGTAAACATTTTCTGATTTCCTGGCTGCAGTCTGCATCTACAGTAATCTTTGCACCTAGAAACACAAAGCCTGTCACTGCCTCCACGTTTTCTCCCTCTATTTGCCAGTTATCGATAAGTCTGGTTGCCATAATGTTGGGTTTTTTTATGTTTAAGTGCAACCCAGCTTTTTTTGAGCCAAGGAGCCTTCTATCCAAGGTGAAAGAAGAGGCTAGCAATACATATATTGACTTTCCCCACCCAATGCTGCTAATGAAAAAAAAAATATGTAAAAAGGCATATTGATCTGGATCCAATTGGTAGCCCCAATTGCAGTAAGTTCATGGAATAACTGGAATTTACACATCTGTTGAGTTACCAAGTAAGCACTGATTAAATCAGTTAACTGTAGCCCAGTCATTTGGATTTACATCATAGATACTTAACAAAAACACATAAAGAATAACCAGTGAGCCTAAAAAACCTGAAATACGGTATCTAATATGATAAAACTTGAAACACAGTCAAACCAACAGTTGGTAGCTACCAATTGTGGCTACAAAACCAGTTTTAACTGCTATCTGTCTTTGATGATAAGCTACTTCTCCAGTGATAACAGGAATGAAAATGGCATAGTTAACATGTTAATCATTCCTAGTTGGATTAACTGTGTTGTTCCTGAATCAAGTTACAGATTTTACATCAGTAATGTATTAATAGACATGTGTCTGTTGAATACTCTCTCCAGTGTAATTTTGTTGTGATGTAAACCAAGCTCCCAGTGAAGTTCTTTGCGCTATAAATTTGTTAGGATTCAACTATACTTTTGGGATAAACACAAATCATTGAGACGTATGTACATGTTGGTTTTACTTCAATAGACTAACATGGTTGTAGTTCTGGACATCTTTTTTTATTGATGGGAGTTGTCCAGAAAGAGTAGCC